CCCCATCCATAATAATATAAACTACTCCTTCCAACTTTAAGGAGCATTTTTGTATTTTTAGCTAACTTCATTTAATATTCTATACTTCTAATAAACATCGTCTACTAGGTGATCAGTCTTGAAATCAAAGACAGAGCACTTAGTAAACACTAAGTATCTAAGTATGTGTCTTTTTTATTTAGATTTGGAGCTTCTACAACAATCTATGTGATTTCTAATCTCCGATATTGATATCATCTGCATTTGTGACCAATTAAATTACTATGCCATAACATAGATTTCAATCATTCAGTTAGATCCTAATCAATGCTACAGAGGAACAAAATATGTAAAGCATATTTGGTGTGACTCATCTAGCTGAGGGACGAGTAGACATGATAAGAAACCTGTCAAAACCCCCTTAACTAGTGGGGGGATGAGCCAGGGAGTTGCTACAAGAGTGTAAATGGAGTGTCATTGAGGCGTGCAAGAGAGATTGAAGTGATTTTCTGGGTGAGAGATTGTAAGTGACCAAAGAAGTCAACAGTGTGGAATCCAGCTTAACTAGTAAACTGCAGAGGTGATGTAGGAAGCAGTGTCAAGCAACAACTCACTAGTTTTTAGAGAATCAGATGAGATCACTGATGGGATGAGATGAACAAAGAGAAAAGTTTGCTCAAAGAGATTGTCTTGATCAAGATCACAACAAAGCTTACTGAGGTTTATTTTGGAGAAGGCAAAATGTGTTTGGATCATCAAATCAGGCAGCATTAAGATTGGTGATGTACACTAGGAGAGAATGAAACTGGCCAAGGTGAGTAGCAATGGAGAGATGTGGTATTTCATAAAACAAAAGCAAGACATAGCAATGCATATTGCAAGAGAGGCATCTGAATCTGATTACAGCACACACCAAATGCAAGAGAAATTTGATTGTGAGAGAGATAAGCAAGAGATTATTCTGGATGCAAGACTTATCTACATTAGGATCCATGATTCAAAATAAGGGATTCACCCTTCCTTCCCAATCTCTGTTATAATATCCATTATTGATAGAAATTAGGAAGAACAGTGGTCCTAACATAGAACCCAGTGGCACTCCACTAATTAGTTCACCTAAATCTGAGTATTAACCTCTTATCCTCTGAAGATCCAGTGATCAAAGCAACCATAAAGTTTACCTTGGTTTATCTTACTGTTCCGGGTAAATAATGAAGCGTCAATCAACAGTTCAGAAAGACACCAAATCAGAAGATGAAGGACAAGACAGGGAAAAAGACAGACAAGGCTACAAGAGAGAGATACAAGGTGAGAGGTCCTCGTTAAGATCATCCAAAAATGTTGTTGTTTTTATGGAATTCTGATTTCCTTTGTGAAGAATCCATCAGTTAAATATGGCCTCTCCTGGTCAGCGGGTAAATTTTTAGAATGGGGAGAAAGGTTTAATTTGTGGCTTCCGGGTTTGTAGGGAGAGAGTGAGATTTAACTGCAGGTACAGATCGAGCCATTCAGAATGCTCAAAGCACAATACTAAAAATATCTGTTTCACTGCGTTGTAATGCCTAATACACTTTTTTTCAAATAATCCGCTGCAGTGCTGCACTACTTTGTAAAACCGCCAGGTGGCACAGTGAATGCTTAATGTGGCATGTTGGCTGTCATGTGAAACACTTTGGTTTGGTTGCTGCCAATGACTAGCCCCACTAGGAAAATCTTTGATCCATAATAAAATTTAATTTCTGTACTATATTGACATTTTTTATTAATTTTATATCACAATATGTTGAATATTACAAATACAAGAATGGCAAATTTACAAAGCAAGCTTTTGCAACTGGATTTATAAACAAATATTTATTGTTGTAGGCTGTTGTGATCACAATGTTTGATCAGGTATACATTTGCATTAAAGTAATCTATATTTGTCTTAATGCTAATTTAAGTAAAAAGTAATTAGGAAACAGAAAATTTTATTTTAGATTTTGATCATAAAAGTATATTATACGCATACTATAGTGGCTTTAAAACCATACAAAATCATGCTGTTTTTAAGGGCAAATAACAGAAAGGGTCAATTGCAACGAACTGAGAGCAGGGTACTAACTGGAGTGTAACATATGGTTAGCATGCAACTCCATGCTAAATTAGTGCGCTACCTTAAGACCAAATGCAATTAACTTCATACTGTCATAATGAGGTTTATTATTACATGTGTTTATTAATAAAAGTGTAGTTTATAATAATAGTATTTTTTAATAATTAAGTTTAATGTCTATTTCAATTAGTAGATGTATTACAGCTAATGCATGTAGAGCTTTTAGTATGCGATAGTGAATTTTCAGATATCCTGGGTAGTGAAGAGAAAAATGGAATGAACTGAATAAAGATAAAAACTGAAATTAAAGAAATGCATATTTAAATGGGTTGCAAATCTTAAATGTGTTCTGTCAAAACTAGGTGTTAATTGAATAGATTTTTTATTGTGATGGGACTCTCTCTATGTGTTTCTCAGGGGAAAGCAGGGGTTCTGGGGATTTGGGTGTATGGAAAAGTGACGTAGGCAAAAGAGAGGGTATGTTAAAACTTTTCTCCATCTTTTTAAAAGTGATTATTTATGACAGTGTGCTGAATGTTTTGGAGATGGAACAGAAAGCTCATCCAGTTGCTACTAAGGTTGTGTAGGACTGCAGATTGCACAGTGATGGTGCTGGTGTTTAATGGACTGGTATGCTGACCAAGTGAGAGGCAAGAAAAATGCTCTTTTAAAATTCCAAAGGCTCACAAGATCAAAGCAACGGCACTGAATTAAAAAAAGATCTGTTACAGATGTCTCCTAGTTTACCTTTTTATAGCTTCAAATATATATATTTTTACTTGTAGATGAATCCACTCCCATGTAGCAGCACCTAGTATCCAAACAGTGGGTGATCAGAAAAAGGAAACAATTGTTAAGCCCGGCTTTTCGACACAATTTTTTTTAACTTGCTAATACATCAGACACATTTCCTGGCATATTGTGTTTTAAATAAGATGGGAGTGTCTTTCCCAGGTATTAGCTCTTATCTGTACCATACTGTATACAGGTACAGACTTCAAACTGCACCACTGTATCGCTTTGGTAAGGAGACAGACTGTGGCCAAAATCACAAAGACTCTCTCACACGGAATAATGAAGATGAAAAGAAACGGGAAGTCAACACGAGACATTGTACAGCATTTGGCTTCCATGGACATCTTCGTTTGTGAAAGCACATTCAGATGACAGTATAAAGGGGAGAGGAGGCAAAGAGAATCTAAACCAAGGATGATTCAAAGGTAAATAACTTTCTAAAAATACTTTTCTTGCATGTAAGTACAACTACACACATTATTTTTATAACTAACTGTTGATCTCTTTTTATTCAAGTCCTATTGTGCGAGCCATCGACAGAGTGACAGATGAAAATGATGAGCTATCGGCAATGCAAGTTCAAAGACGGCTATGGGCTGACCTAGGTGCGAGCGTGAGTCCGAAATCGAT